GCGCGCAGGAGTCGATCGTACGCTGCGCGGGCGGCACATTCGGTGCGTGGCGCGGTGCCGCAGATCGGCGGCCGAGGGCCGTGAGGGAGAGGGGTGCGCAGAAGGGTCCGGGGGCAGCGCGGTGGCCTGGAGCCAGATGCAGGCACAGCTGGCGGAGGACGCGCCCTCCCTCGGCCAGGAATCGAATGTGGTGCAGCGCGCGGGGGCCGCGCCTGGCGCGCGCTGGGCAGCGGCGCAGGCGCTCACAGACCGTTCGGCAGCTGAGTGGGCCGAGGAGTGGGCGATGGGCCAGAGATCAATAGGAAGTGGGCCTCCGAGGTCATCCAGGGGCACTTCTGTCAAGGCGAGCGTGGATCCCGGCGCCGTCGCGAGGACAGAACCTCTCGCTGTGACATCCCCCCCTTCCATCCGCCCCGCGTTGGACCCGCAGGTCACCTGCGCGCCGTCTGCTTATCCGACCCTCTATCCGACAGAGTGCCATCTCCAGGAAGCATTAGTGCTCGCGCGGGAGGAGCTTGGTCGCTTCAAGATGGGATCAGCCGACTGTTTTAGGAAAAGCCCAGGGGACAGAGGAGCCAAAGAAGCTCAGTGTAACATTTTTGGGGGCAGTGCCGCTGCAAAGTGCAAGAGGTGTTAATGTCCGCCCCCTCGCCCAGCACGCGCGATGCCAGTCCAAATGGGCGGCCGCGCAGGCAAAGGCTGCGATTTCGCTACTCGCGCTGCCAGGACCTCAGTCGTGGCAGAGATGTTCAAAAGCTTGTGCCTCGGTGGTTTGCCTGGACCTATGGAGGCTGGCCTGGATGATGGCCTAGAGGTCAAAGACTTGTTTCTTGGCCTCTGCCGGGCTGCCAGGCAGCAGCTCAAGCAGGGTCCCATCCTAACCGAGCATGCGACATGCGCGCGCATCATGGGCCTCCAAAGAGGAACCTCAGGTCGGCCCCGTCTGGCCCGTTCCTGGGGTGCCCCGTTGGACCATGTGCCGCGCGGGCGTTTTCAACGTTGGCTTCAAAGGCGTCTTGGAATTTGTTGACGCAGACCCAGCGCGCCTTCAGTCACCAATGCGCAGGGGGTGACTGGAAGTCGGGCAGCCTGTCCTTGCCTCAGAAGGGGACATGGACAACCCTATGCGCGATGTTTGCTGCGTTGGCGATTTCCCCCTCCATGAATCCACGCTCTGGCGCAGTCAAGCCTCTAGAGCGTATACAAGACACTGTTTGGGCTATCTTCGATGCAGCGCGCGGTGTCGGCCTTGCCCCCAAGCGTCGCGACGCCAAGATCCCGCCTGTCTTGCGTGGCAAGGGCCTAATGATACGTAAAGGGAAGTACCCAGAAGGTCAGATTACTAGCACCCTTCCCGGCGACTGGGAATATGGTTTTGACGCGCGCGCATCCAGAAGATCCCAGTAATTACCGCGGATTTCTATGTAGGTTCAATGGCAGCCAAGCTCTGCTCGGTAATGAAGGGCGCGCAATCAGGTCTCATTTCTGCGCGAGAGTTGTTCGCCCCCCGCAAGGCTCTCTCCCTTCGGCAGAAAGTGTAGTGCGGAGAAGTCCTAGCTAGTGCCGTCCTGTTTTACGCTCGCGCGGCCTGGGGGCCACTCGCAGGCGCGCTACGCAGGAAACTCTGCAGGGCCTACGCTCCAGTGCATCGCCCGGCTCTTCAACTACCTAGCACTAGTCGCGATCGCGCGCTGATCTCCTATCTCGAGGTCTCCTGTCGGGTCCAGCGCCTTCCGCTTAGCGTTGTCCAGGCCGTTTCTAGATTGCGCTACCTCCCTAGGCCCCGGGCCCATGCCGCTCCCCTCGCCGGGCTGCCTCACGACATCCTTGCCCCTCACGGTCCCTCTCGGGCTCTTGGGCACCCAGTTGGTGCGGGCTGTCAGCGGCTATTTTGCCGCATTGAGCCCGCGGCTGCGCCCCGGGACCCAGCTCGGCAAGAATGAGTCCAGATGGCCAGACGTGGTGCTCACAGATCTTTCAGCACGATGCGCATTGCAGCGCACAGAGCCAAGGTCAAATTTAAGGACGATTGCCACAGAGGGCTGCGGCAGCGTGCGCTTCACAAAATCACCATCTGCGCAACGCTACGCGACACTCCACCGCCCCCGAGCGCGGCCCACAGGTGTCCGCTCTGCAATTCAGGCTGCGATCACGAGGACCTATGACACGCGCGTCGGAAAGGCGCGCCCGGCTCCCCCCTCGCGCCTGCCACCATGGCAGCGGGATCCTTGTGTTAGGTGTGTCGCACCGAGTTTGGGTGTCCTGGGCGGCACCTGCTGGCCAATTCATTCCCAAGACCCTCGCCTGACGAGGCGACGGGCAGCCGCGGCCAAGCCCTGCAGCAGGCCGCTGCTAACAGGGCCACCTGTAGGACCATTGCGCCCAGCGATCAGCCGCAAGAGCGCATTGATTTACTATTCCTGAGGCTCGGCCGATGCCTGAACCGCCAGAACCACCGCGACTCGAGCCCGCTCGGCCCCTTCGCCTGGATGAGTGTCGGCACGCCGACCCCGCCCCGAGCGCAGTCGCATGTTCGTCCTTCGCTTCTTACTTAGCCACCGCCGCTCGGGCGACCTGCAATTCCATTCCATTTCGAAGCCGCCCGTTCGGAGAGGCCAGCTCGGGTCACCACTCTCAGCCTCGTCGTCGTTGGTCATCCGACGCTTGGCGACTTCACTCGTAAAGATACCATCCGATGGCGGTTTCTCGCATACGCTCAGGCCGAGTGGCCGTGATAGGTGTGGGACCTCTTTGCGAGATTTTGAGCGCAGCCAGGTTCCAACTACCACTTGGAGAAGCGGATGCCCCCGCACTTTGCGTTCGATCGAACAGTTTTGGTTCCTTACTTAACTGAGCGCCAGGGGGCGATCACAAGGTGCGTCCACGAAGCCCGACTTCAGGGGGTCCAGCTATTCTCGGACACCCCTTCCCGTCCTTGGCGCCCGCCCCATGCGCCCTCCAGTTGAATGCTGCTTGGGGCCCGTGCTCTATTGCGCCAGGCCGGGGTCTCCTCTCATGACTTGCACCAGTGCGTGCTAGGAGCCCCCTTCACGCAAGTAATGTACTCTCGTGGCGGTGCATGCACCGATCCTAGGCCAGGCCCTGGCGACCATGGGCAACCAGTGCCGATGCAATTACAGGGGGGTTCTTTACCCCAGAAAGGGTTTGAAGCTGACGGCAACTAACGCACCGCGCACGACAAAGTGCACCAGACCATACTCACAGAAGAGCGCCAGCGCTTCCCAACCATCGTACCTGGGAGTACCCCCCCCTTTTGGGAGCTGGCATTCCCACGCAGAAGATTAACCCCTACCGGCTGGACCTTGAGCAACGAGGCCCAGCTATGTCGGGAATTGTACATTACCCGCGCCACAGACGATTGGCGACCAAATGGTTTAACCAAATTGAACGCCTGATTGGATCTCCGTGAGCCGACCCAAGCTTTGGGAATTGTCTGCGTGATTCAAGATAGGGGGCCTGGAGATTGTCGGGGGGGCCCACTTCCACCTTTCTAAAGCTTGTCAGCGCCCTACCGCGCGCCGTGAGCCCCTCCGAGGGGAACAACGCACAGCCCACTGTGTTCCGCGCCCGAGATCGACGACAGTGTACGCCCACGCTAAGAAGCAGTAAGCTGTGTGGTTTGGGAAGCTCTTTCCAAACGCGATGTTGACAGGAGCTGTCCAAAGGCACTCCTGTTCAAAATTCCATTGCCATAGTTTACGTCCTTCTCCAGGTGTATTCGCTCACCTCAAAAGCAGTACCCCACAAGCGTTCAGTTCACGCCTCTCTTGGCCTAGGGCGTGTGCGCCCTCAGGGTCACCTACTTTCGGATGTAGCGCCGCCTTGACTTGAATTGCTGCTGCATATATCATAATCATGCCTCTTTCTCGTCGCAAGCGTGGTATGGGCTTCCAGACTCAGCCCTCATGGACCGACCAGCTGGCCGAGGAGGAGGCAGAGGCTGGGGCAGGGGTGAGGACGAGGGGAGAAGAATCCAGGTTTTCGGCTCCGATTTCCTGAGAATCCGTCGCCCGGGCGGCGCGCCGTTCCCTTGAAGAGGAGCAAGCAGTCAGGAGAATGATGCGTTCCACGATTCTGTAAATGTTCACGGTTTCTGGGATTCCCTCTTGTTCCGCGCGGGGCTCCGGAAACGAGGTCCGCCAGATGCCCCAGGATTCCCGAACCGCATCATGAGCCAGTCTCATAATGTTATCATCTTCGTCCAGCGGTCACGAATTCTGGCTCAGCGTGTCGCGAAGCTGGCTCTGCCCGATGCTCTTCGGAACGACACTCTATCCACGTTCCAGCTCAAAAGTGTCAACGACAAGGCTTTTCGGAAAGCGCGAGGGAACGCCCGCCCCGCGGAGCGGAGCGACACGCCATCCGCTTGCAGGGCATAGCGTGTCGTTGGGACCGCCGCCGCCACACGCTAAGAACACATTTTCCGACGCGCCTTTCCCTATTTTCGGCGGCGCGCCCACAGGGAAAGTGAGAGGGGGCAGGCCTTCTCAGAAGATGTCGGAGCTTCTTAGAAGCCCTCGCGCCCTGTGGGAAACCGCTTGTGGGTTCGGAGAAGGCTCATAAGGCTTCTCAGACGGCGCGAAAGCCCCGACACCTTCCTAGAAGGCCCCCTCACCCCTCACTCCTTCCCTGGGCGCGCCGCCGACTCGAGACGAGGACATCCAAAGGCCCCCGAACCTCGACCTTCGAGATTCGAGCCTCAAACCTCGAATCTCGAGTCCGCAATCCCGCGAGCCTCGTCCCCCTCCCTCCCGGGGAGGGAGGGGGACGAGGCCCGCGGATTTTCGGAGGAAGGAGAAGGGATTGAAATGGAGGCGGAGGTGTGAGGTGAGGCGGATCTGGGGAGGGAGGAGGAGGTGGGAGGGAGGATGTGCGAGGAGAGAGTTCCAGTCTCCCTCCCAGGGGTGGGGGGGGGGATGCACCCCTCCGGGGCGGCGACCGCCGCGCTGCGTCGGAGGCGTCGGCGCCGCCGGTCGGCCATGCTGGGCGCACAGCGCTTGCCCGCGCGGGACCCGCAGGCGCGCGCCCGCGGCGGCCGTGGGCGAGGAAGGGCCCTCCGAGCAGGGAGGGGGCGGAGCCCCAGGCGTCGTCGGCGCCGTGGAAAAGTCGCCATGGAGGGCTAAAAGTGACGACGCTTACAGGATTTGGATGACCCGCTCGGATTACTACTTGATCTGGCGGCCCCATTAGGAGGGAGGGCCCGCCTGATATTTCCTTACAACTCAGTAGCAGGCGAGGTTCCTGCTCGAGACTTCCCCAAGACCACCAAGTGGGTGTGTGATTGTGAGTGAGAGCGTACATGATGCTGCTGATGATGGTGGCATTGTGATAGTGATGGTGATGGTGACCCTTACAGGATGGCGATAGTGATGATGGTGGTGTGGCGATGATGATGGTGATGGTGGTGATGGTGGTGATGATGACGATGATGATGACGATGCTGATGCTGATGCTGATGCTGATGCTGATGCTGATGATGATGACGATGACGATGATGATGATGATGACGGCGGTAATGATGACGATGGTGATGGGATAGTGATTGAGTGTGTGTCTGTATGTGAGTGAGTGATGATGTTGTTGGTGATGATGGTGATGAGTTGATGATAGTGCCGATGATGATGATGATGATGATGATGATGATATGGTTGTTGCAATACAATGATGCGTATGATGATGATGATGATGATGATGGTGATGGTGATGGTGATGGTGATGATGATGATGATGATGCTGATGATGTTGATGATGCTCATGATCAAAATAATCATGGTGATGGTGATGACGACGATGATGATAGTGATGGTAATGGTGGTGGTTTGTGCTGTTCGTTGTGTGTGGTGCGTTGTGAGTTGTGTGATGTGTGGTGTGTGGTGTGTGGTGTGTGTATTGTGCGTGTGTGTTCGTGTGGTGTGAGTGTGGGTGTGCTTGTGTGTGAGAGTGTGTGTGTGTGGTTGTGTGGTGTGAGTGTGGGTGGGATTCGTAGCCGCTGGCTCAAGCCCTTCTGGCTCAAGCCGTCTCGACTCGAGGTGGCTTGCGCAGCCTGGGTTCCGCGGCCCGGCGGGCGCGCCCTCGGGAATCCGGCGGCGGCTTGGACGGGGGGTCTTGCCTTCTGCTTGTTCGCTGCCCCGTGATTGGGGGAAGGAATCGGGAAGGAACTGTATTGCCTCCAAGTCCAGAGCGGTGTCTCCTGTGCTGGCAACATATGCCTCGTGTGGGGTGCCTCGTAGAGCTGCAGGCGGGCCTGGCCAGCTCCGTGGCGACCCAGGGACGGTCGCCAGGAACATTGGCCAGGCGCAACCCCCCCGAAGGGAAGCGGATTGCAGCAGGCACGGAAGAAATAAGGGTGCGGGGGGTGGGAGCGCTAGACCCCGACCCTAGGAACAGGGCGCCTGCGCGCGAGCCGAATCCAGCAAAACGCATGAGGAACCCGAAAGGAAGACGAGCCGAATCTCGCGACCCCGCAGAAGCCCCTTTCCCGAGTGCACAGCCCCCTAAGAAAGGACGCCTTCTGCCTGTTCGATGCCCCGTGACTGGGGTAAGGAATCGGGAAGGAACTGGATTGCCTCCAAGTCCAAGACGGTGTCTCCTGTGCTGGCAACATATGCCTCGTGTGGGGTGCCTCGTGGAGCTGCAGGCCGGCCTGGCCAGCTCCGTGGCGACCCAGGGACGGTCGCCAGGAACACTGGCCAGGCGCAACCCCGAGAAGGCGAGTTTTTACAAGCTCCCAGTGAGGCGCCTCCACAGAGGCATAGGTGAAACGCGCGGCTGGTGATGAGTGATGGCTGGGACCGCCACGCCACTCGAAGCTGTAGACACGGCGCGTAACAGCTGATCGCACCGTTCTGAATCTGAGAAGCGAGCGTAAAATGCTCGCATGGTTTCAGGGGCCGACCAGCCGCCCTGAGCCTGCACCAGCTCTTCCGGCAAGCAGCGCACTATCTTGTACCCGTGGGCGCCGCCTTTTCGCAGTGAGTGTGTTCCCACTGCGGCAGTCGGACAGAACTGCGAAAGATTACGGCGGAAAGAGTCGCAACTCATGGGGCGGGGCTCCACCAAGTGAATTGCGCAAAACGCGGGCGCATCCGGGTCGGAACCCCAGCGCGAGTCCCGGTGCACCAGCCACCCCCGCAGGAGGTGGCCAGGGCATAGGCTGGGGGGTCGACCATCTTTGGGATGTGGCACGCCATGCCTTGCCCGAAAGGGTCGTTCTTTTGGCGGGCGACACACATAGACGCGAAATTTTCGCGCAAAGAGATGTCTCGACGCCGGGGCGCGAGAGTCTCGGAACACCTCCGGACGCCGAAGAAAGACAGGGCTGCTATAGCGACGTCCCGGACGGCGGCCAGGCTGCCTGCTTTGAGGCGAGCGGCTTGGTAACGCCGCAATTCTTCCAGAGATACCGGGCGCTTCGCGTGTGACCGTGAATGGTCGGCCCGCTTCTTCAGACCTCGGCCGACCGGTCCGTCCATGCACTGTTAAATTGTGTTGTTAAGTTGCGCAGCTGGTGCCAACAGCGCATTGCAGCGCGCAGATTCGTGACGGATGACCAGGACCGGCCGTCCACCTGGGCAAACAACAGCATGAATCTCACGTCTGAGTCGCACGGCAAAAGTTGCAGCCCTGAGAAATTTTCGAAATAATTTACGGCAGTGCGCAGGGAACTGCTGTACCGCTTCTTTGTGCTCTCCTCCAAGGCTGCTTGGAGGCAGCAGTGAATTGCTGATGTAGCCCTACTGCGGCGCGCCCCCTGTCCCGCAGAAGTGCCCTCGCGACTTAAAGACATGAGGTCGGGGCCCTCACTCAGAAGCTGGCGCGCGCCTGGTGCGTCCACCAGCGGAGCTCGAAGTGGTTCGCGTTGCAGCGCGGGGGCCCCGACAGGCCCGCGCGACGTGCCAGGGCGCCAGCGTGCGTCGCCGGGGCGGGATTCCCCCAGAGGCACCGCGGATGCCTGCGAAGGCGCAGCGCGAGGCCCCCCGACATGCGGTCTGTCGGCCGCCGGCCCGGGGCGATCGAAATCGTCGCGGCGCAAGCAGACGGGGCCAAGGCGTTGGCGGCGCGCGGGCTCTGGCGATCCTGGGCCGCGCTTCATCTTGAGCCCCCGAGGCCTTAGGTCGCTGCGGCCATTCCTTGTCGACCAACAGGACGGGGGGGGCGGCGGCGACGGTGTTTCCCCCCCGCCGAGGGGGCCAACAAGTGCACCAATCGTACGTTTTCTTTCACGTTTACCTGGCGGTCGTGGGCCGCCTTTGCCCTGCCGTGCGCGGCCCCCGGGACATTGGGCTTCGGCAGAACTTATTGCCTCTGGTGCGCGGATCCGGAAAACCACGCGCAACGAGGAGGTGTTTTTTCCCGGAAAGGGCTCGAGCCCAGGGTTCTCTTTTAGAGGTTTACCCCCGGATCTGACGGCTGATGGGCCGGCAAAATTATTCTGCGATAAATTACGCGCGGGAGTAGGGCCGGCGGAATTATTTTTGAGGATGTCCCTCGCGAAACGCTTGTTTTTCATATTTTGTTGACGATGTCTCGAGCGAAACGCTGGTTTTGCAGAGTTGGGGATGTCTCGAGCGAAACGCTTGTTTTCAGAATTTGTTGAGGATGTCTCGAGCGAAGCGCTGGTTTTGCAGAGCCGACCGCGACGCGGAAAAGCGCTCCGCGCGCAAGAATTCCGATGATGTTTCGCGCGCGCCGCGTCCCGCGCGCAGGAATTTCGAGGATGTCTCGATTAATTCGTTCGTTTTGCCAGGATTTCTTTGAGTTTTGGCAGGGTGTCTCGAGCGAAACGCTTGTCTTTCATCATCTGTTGAAGACGTTTCGAGCGAAACGCTGGTTTTGCAAAATTGGGGGATGTCTCGAGCGGGGGCCTCGTGGGGGTCCTCGTGGGGGGTCCAGAATTCAGAGGATGTCTCAGGCGAAATGCTTGTTTTCACGTCCCGCTCGCAAGAATGTTGAGGATGTCTCGCGCGTGCCGCGTCCCGCGCGCAGGAATTCTGAGGATGTTGGCAGGATGTCTCGAGCGAAACGCTTGTCCCCAGCACGTTCCGTAGCGCGTCCCCTTGGCACGTCCCGCGGTGCGTCCCCATGGCACGTCCCTTGGCACGTCGCTTGGCGGGTCCCTTGAGACGTTCCGCGTCGCGTCCTCCTGGTATGTCCCCTTGTCAATTAGCTCTGGGGCAGCTACTATGTGTTCAGGCAGCTCGAGCTTAAGGTCCAGATCATTTCGGTCAGGACTCGGATGCTAAGGAGGACTCGATCCACGAGGCTATACAGCACAATCGCGGCATGGCACATCGCAATTCGGCACGGCGCAGCAAAGCGCAGATTTCGGCACGGTACATCAAGATCGATACACTCAGCATTGCAACTTGGCACGTTCCGTGGGGCGTCCCTTGACGAGTCCCCCTGGCACGTCGCGTGGCGCGTCCCCTGGCACATTCCGTGGCACATCCATTGGCAGTTCCGTAGCGCGTCCCCTTGGCACGTCCGGCGGTGCGACCCCATGGCACGTCCCCTGGCACGCCGCCTGGCGCGTCCCTTGGGACGTTTCGCGGCGCGTCCTCCTGGCATGCCCCCTTGTCAAGTAGCTCTGGGGCAGCTAATATTTGTTCAGGCAGCTCGAGCTTAAGATCCAGATCAGTTCGGTCAGGACTCGGATGCAAAGGAAGACTCGATCCACGACGCTATTAGAGCACAACCGCGGCATGGCACATCGCAATTCAGCACGGTGTAGCACAACACAGCCCTCGGCACGGTACATCAAGATCGATACGATCAGCATTGCACTTGCCCGTCACCCAATCAGGTGTCTTTGAAAACGTTGCCATGCGTTACATTTCTATATTCCTTTCCGGGTTCGTGGGTCGATCATGTCTTCCTTGCTAGAGGGGCAGAAAAATGATGTAATCGTACGTCTTTTACACAGGATTGCGCTGCATGTGGCCGCCGGGGCCGCGGCCCCGGAACCTGGTGATTTCTGTGCCCCCCAGCAATAACTGATGTGCATGGCGCGCATGCCCAG